AGCTGTTGATCTGCTTCAGCCTCTGCACTTTTTTCAAGAGAACACTGTCTCAACTGATCCTGCAGGTTAAAGTTTTCCTCATTGAGATTTTGCAGCTGAACATCTTTAATTCTTAGGGACTTCTTCATTGCCTCAATATCTGCTACAGACTCTTTTACTGACTGTACATCATCACTTCTTGTTATGTTCTTTATGGTACTCAGGAGACTGCTGTCTGACCTCACTTCCCCTAGGCTCTTTGCATCAATATGTGTGTCATCGTAAGTGTGTGTATCTCTGCTGCTTCTCCTGCGCTTTGTTTCCATTGGATCATCCCCACTGCGTGGCTTTGACTTCCTATCTTTTGAAGGCCTCCTAGTCAACTGAGAAGGTGACAAGGATGATGAAGAATTGCTTCTTGTCATACTTTCTGAAGAATCTGATTTCAGTGGTGGTGATTCCTGTTGATGCTGAGTCTTTGTAAGAAGATCCAGCTGCTGTTTGAGAGACTCATATTGAGTTTTCCAGTCTCCCAACTGTTCAAGCAAGTGAACCCGTTCTGCTAATAGTTTACTTTCTGAACAAGACAGCTGTGCAACTTCATTCTGGAATACCAGACAGTTTGTTTAAACAAAAAAGCAATGACAAAAAACCTTAATTAAAATATGCATAATTAAAACAATTGAATAATAAATTCAGATTATGTGATAAACTATCAAAATATGTCTTGCTTGCCAGATTTGTCTTTTAGTTGTAGCTGAGATGAAAATCAAAACTGGATAAAGTTCTGTAAAACACATATACATATGACATTTGATCAGGTGCTTATTATAAGAAAAACAATAACAATTAGCATACAGCTGTGACCAGTGTGCCACATACACCTAGAAAAGTCTGAAAAATCAAGCCTGTACCGTGTATAAAAGTACACATATAGCATACAGATCTAAAATTCTGGGTAACAAAAAAATTGGAAAACCTCACTGACCAGCACAATTGTTTTCATTAATGTTTGATATCATCTGTTTAGCTATTTACCCTTTTACCCTGTAAAAATCTTTTTTGTTTTTAAAATTTTTAACTTGTTAATTTTTTTTTTCCCACAACTTTGTTAAAAAAGAATCGCTTTGTAATTATTCTCAGAAACTCTTTCATAAGAAATTAGAGGACGAGAAGAAGGAGAAATGTTGAGTCATGGTCAGTTTTTATACAAATACAGGGATGTTAAACCTATGACCACCATGTGGACAGGCAAGCATGCCAGTTTTTGCGTCGTTGCAGACTACAAGTCACTAAAATTATGATTTTTTTTATATCTAGAGTCATTATTTTGTGCAAAGGTTATTTTCTTTTATTTAAAGGGAAGTACTCCCTAAATTTAAAAAAAGAAACAAAAAGGTTACTGCTTTCCTTCCCTTGACCAAGAAAACAGGGGTTTTGTCGATGCAGCCACAGAGAAGAGACATCATCATTAACTCTTTGAGTTCCCAAAGGAACGCATCACATGCTTATCGGTCACTACGCAGGTGGCTAATCGGTGCATGACGTGTATTGGTTTTTAATTTGCCACTGTTCAGTAAAACAATACAAACTACTCTTTGAGTTCCCAAGGAATGCATAACATGCTAATCGGTCACTACGCAGGTGGCTAATCGGTGCATGACGTGTATTGGTTTTTAATTTGCCACTGTTCAGTAAAACAAAACAAACCAGCAGTTTTGAATGGTATTTCGTGTTCTTTGTGTTTGATTTCCCACATGCTGATCATTAGGCTTCGTAAACGTGGTTAAAACCAGAAAATGTAGCATCTTTGTGAGCTTTACCAAGTAACTAAGTGTCTGTGTGAAAACAACATGGCCTCTGAACAGACTTCTTTATGCATGCCAACAATCTGTATGACTTTAAATTACAGGCGGAGGGAAAAAAGATGGGGAGATATGGAGGACAAAGGACACAACAACTTGGTTTAAGTTTGGAGAGGGCCTGTCTTCAATGAGAGATAAAGGGCATGCGCGCGCACATGCCCGCACAAACACACAAACATATTCAAAAAAATATTATCTATTTCCACCCAGTAAATAAACGTGACACCACAAGTTTAACATTAGTTAAACTGAAACTGATATAGTACTAAGAATTAGATTAATGGCATGGCCTGAGCTGCAGAAAAGCTGAAACAAAATATTACACAGGATGCATATTTTCAGATAAATCCATATATTCTGATGTGCCATTTTTACGAGTTATTGTTTTTATTGTAATTATATTAGTGGCTGTTCTATTTTGTTGCTGATAAAGACTTTTCAGTCATAACATTCATTCTGTCACTTCTGTTCCTGTAAAGCTGACCATTTCCACTGTTTGTTTTTGTTGATTTATTTACAAGAACCTGAATAATTATATGAAAAGGAAGCAAGAAACAAATAAGTGTGCACGGGTGCACTCACACAACGATAGCAAAGAAATAATCACTAACAAAATAATAAAACAAATCTGCCCATAAAATGAGAGATAAGACCAAAAGACTAAATGGTGATGGGGAAACAAAAACATTTACTGCAAAGCAACAAATAAATAAAGCAATAGAATCAAACAATTAAAAAACCCGTAAGTGTCAAAGTGACTAGTTCATAACTGTGAGCTCTGCTGTGCAGTTGTGCATTAGCATATTGGCCTATTTATGAGGTGTGTATGTTTGTGTATGCATATGCTTATATATATGTAACTGTGCATATGGGTTGTGTGTGCTATGCGTCTATTCAAACAAAGACATATGAATATCAATTATATGCATACACACATTATGTGTGTAAGTTAGTTCTTGGATGTGTGATTCACTAATGTGTGTTTGTGTGTAAGTATGTTTGAACATATATCATGGCAAACTAATCAAGAGAAATAGAATATGGGCATCATTAATTAATTCTAAGTATCAGTACATTAAAAAAAATTACTAGTCTACATACAAATTAAACAGACATCATCTTCAAAATTATCATAATTTTTTCGCCATAGGTCACAAAGGGCTTATAATTTCTTATTTTGTTCTATCCTAGGCCATTTGTTTTTCCCCCAGATATCATGTACAGAGTTCAGTCCAGCTCCTAGTTTTTCTCATCAATGTCTAATAAAGAGTTTCCCTTGGATGTTCTCAGCTCTGCAATCCTTTGATTTCTCATTTCAGAGGTTGTTCTGTGATTCTTTGTCCACTTCATCTTAAAATGTTGAATTAAGAGTCAATATATCACAGCACTCGGGACACTCCCATAAGTGCTCTGTTCCCATCTTCAGCAGCAAGCAAAGAGTTCCAATTACGAAGGCATCAGTAACTGTCTGATTGTATATCCATCTCGTTTTTTCCCTTGAGTGCTGAGCGTCAGCCGGATCCCATGGTCATTCCTTGCAGAGACATTCTCCTCAGACTGTAATGATCTATTTGTACCTACGCACTGTTCATTCACTCCCAAAGGGCCTCACAAAGTCTAGCTTGTCATACATCAATTCATCAAGTGCACCAAGTGGTGCAGAACCGTCCAATCTTTCTGCTTGTGCAATTATCAACACACCATCCTGACCTAGAGAAAATTACCCGAGACCTCTGAAGAGTGGCGTGTCACTCTGCACTGAGCATGCCTGTCTCCACCTTTTTCAGTTACAATTACGATTATAATTACGATTTTTGTACACCTGATTCTCAAGCCAGTAGAAGGCAGCAGTGACTACCTTCACCTCCATTCTCAAATTAAGACGTTGTGATATCATATGCAAGGTTTTGCTGCACTAAGCAATGTCCATTCACTTTTGCTATGAATCTCCAAGCACTTTATCTACCTCTCAACACAGAGCCATCTGTATAGATAATCACATCACCTGGGCTGGAACTGTCATGATTCATTTGTTGAAGTTCTGATTCTGCAGCATCAGCTGGCCGGTTCCTGCATTCTCGACCACTTCATCATAGAATGTACCAAACATGTCACCACCTTCTTTCTTTTATAACAGGTGGTACCAGCAGCTGTCTAGACATTTCTCTCATTTCTTCATCTTTTTTGCATTCATTCCTTTCAATATTTGTCAACTTCCTTTTCTGGTATTTATTGTTGATTGTATAAACAGTACTAAACAGTGCAGTTGAAAATAATTAATCCAAATATTACAACCAATATGCCCACTACCACATTGACTTTTGTAACTTTTAATTCTATGAAAAATCTTCCTTTTCTTCTACAGCTACCTGGTCCTGAGCAGATCATGACTATCTAATTTTCTTTGTTTGTATCATTTTCATCAAACTGGTGCTGCAATATATTATTACTTGTTTTCCAGCTGTGTAAGCTTTCCACAGATATCTTTCTGTCTTTCTTTGCTCTAGTGCCAAGTATAGTTCCCTGATCCACTTAAAATGTGTATATTTTTCGGGGTATAAGGTTGGACGCCTGCCTGGCATCCTGATGACCCAAAAGTTATTCTGCCGCAAAGCCAACGGGGGATGCCTGGCTACATTTTTGTGTGTGGCTGCGCTTTTCCCATTGGTAAAGCGTTAGTTTGGCGGATCAAGTCTTTTGATCTTAGTCCAAAATACTGAGAAGTAATCTTTTAGTGTTACTGGTCATATAATGTATAAAGTTATAAATTAGAACTGTAGAATGTAAAAACCCTACTACAAGACTCAAACTATTTATTAAAACAAAAACTAGAGATATCTAGAGAAGAAATGAAAACAGATATATAATATATTCCTGTAAAATGAGACAAAATATACAACAATATTTAACAACAGTTAGACCCTACAGTAAATCGAAACACCAAGAGGCAGGGGAATACCAAGACGAATATGGATTGAAGGAGTCACAGACAACTTGGGACTTCATAGCATATGAAGCGACTGAGCGCGCCCTGGCTCGGTTGCCGATCATCTGATAGACTGACGCCTAGCGGCACAAGCAGATTTTGACAAAAGAAAGAAGAAGAAGACCCTACAGTACTGCGAATGTTAGACTAACAGTCAGATTCTTTCCTACCTTTAACTCAAGGTTTTCCTGTCGCTCTCTAGCAATCGACATTGCGGCTGACTGGTGTCCCTTGCCTGGGTTTTGTCCCATGAAGTTGATTTGGTCATAGAGGGCATCCTTTTCTTTCTGCAGGGAAATTACTTTCATCTGCAGCTCTCCTGCAATGCTCTCAAGAGATTGTGCTCTCCTCTGAAGGAGGGTAAAAACAAAATGACATTTATACTTACATACCTATAACAGCCTACGTATGTGTACATGTGCCTATGTGTGTCTAAGTGTTTTCTCTATAACTGTGTTTGCTTCTGTCTTTAAAAGCCCTTATTTTTGTAAAATGTTATTTTAAATGCTGAAAGAGGCAATAGTAATAACTTTACCTATCTTTGGTAACCAATATGCTCTTATATATCATGTCCACTACTAAATTTCTTTGACAGTATTTTACATAGTACCCTACAAGGTAACAAGACAACACTGCAGCAATAATTTTTGCGCATATACAAATACAAACAAATGTATAAGAAGGTAGATGAATGGGTAGGTTAGGTAAATAAGAGGTAGGCAGACTGGCAAACAAACAGACAGATCGATAAACAGTTTATACCCTTTAATTTATTCCTAGAGTTAGTAGGCAATGTGGCCCGACTGAGTACAAATAATCATCTTCCAACAGGAAAGCAGTCATGCATCTTTATAGTTCAGAGGTCAGCATGTCCAACTCTGGTGTACACTCCTGTAAGGTTTACTTTTTTAGACACACTGCATCCAAGGAAATGGGCTCCAAAAATAGGATTTCTATCCCAAAATATTAGCCAGAGCAATAGTCTGACCTGTGATACTGAACTGGTGTGAAGTTTTCAAGATGCACACACATATATAGGATCTCCTGCCTTTCACTTTTTTTTCACAAAAACCTAGATATTCAATCTCACTACTTCCCCATGTTCGTTCTGGGGTCCCATTTTAGGGACACATTGTTCCCTAACTAGCATGTGGTTTAAGGTGACTAATTAGGAGACTGCTGAAATTGGGTGTGTTGAGCCATAAGGTGCAGATATTGCAGCCTAGCTTAAACCACAATACAACGTGCCATCTGCCCTTTTGATAGTGAACACAAAAGAAAGTGAACATGAATACTGACATCACTGGTTGTCAATGGTTCTTGTAAAGAGTCCCAGTTCTACTAATATTTCTTCTTCTTCTGCCCTTCAACTGCCAAATTAGCAGAGACTCTAAACTAACTCACATCAAGTCCTTCCTAGGCTTGTTGATGACTGACTGGATTTTGCGGCTAGTGTTCTACCAGAATCTTATGCTCTTCTCTTCACTCCCTTTCGGGCCCATTTCACGCCAGTGCTGCATCAGGCATATGATGTTAGACTCATATTTTTAAAGACCATTCAGCCCTCAATGGGTGATGCAGTCAGTCTCATGCTAACCCTCTTTAACTGTGTTTTATCACAAACTGTATAGATTACATTATTACTATTCTTTGCTCATAACACCCACTCACATCAGGCTACAGGTTACATTGTAGCCATCTGAAGCCCCAATATAACTCTTGTATGGATGAGCAGAGAGCTGCGTTAGCATACCTGTTAGAGACTCACTTGCCCGCCCAAAAGGTCCTAGGTTCTAATCTGTATTAAGATGAATTTTTTCCTAAACTGACCTTGGCTCCCACGTTGAACCAGTCTGAAATTGGTACCAGGGAATGACCTAGAAGGTAAAGGTCCAGCCTGATGCTGACCATATCAGCCACCAAGTGTTGACTGGTCAATCAAAATATGAAGCCAGAGTCATTTGTCAGAGATGTCACTTATGTAAAAAGCGTCCTTTGTTTACTGTTCTTTAAATGGGTGAATGGGATTTCTAGAATTTGTACCTGTTTGAGATTTTAATCCTCCACTGTGCAATCCTGCAGGTAGAAAACATTTTCTGATTCTTCTATGGGCCAGGCTAACTCAAATTATTTTTCATTCTATATTATAATTCAAACTCAGTAACTTCTGAATCTGAAGCGCAAACTGTCACCTTAACCATGTCAGTAAAATTTAAATATACACTTGACTCTTACCCTTTCTTCCTCTGTGATCTTGTCAAGTGTCTTGAGCACTGCATCTCCTTCCCTTCCCTTGCCCTTCAGCAAACTGACCAAATCCCTGCGTAGCTGCTCCATCTGCTGCACTGCCACGTGCTGCTGGTGATCAATCTCAGCTAACCTTTCCAACTGCTCATGGTACTCTGACAGAGACTGCTGCTGGGTACTGGCCTCACATGTTGAGCTCTGCATTAGGACATAAATTATTAACTGTATTGGATTGAACAAACAATTTTTGTCTGTGTATTTCTTTGTCTTCTTCTTCTCCTGCCCGTGGAGCACAGGCTATCAGCCAATGTGTGACAAAACTGTTAAACAGTGTCATTTGTTGACTGAACATTTTGCTCTGGGGGCAAAATTAAACATCAATGATGAGCATGTGTTATGTGAAAAACGGCCACTTTATGTGAAGTTCTGGAAAGGAAAGTGATGTAATGTTGACCACATCCCCCACCGATATGACTGGTTACAAAAAAATATGTCTAGCCTCATATGCCTGATGCACCACTAATGTGAAAAGACTCCTTTTATAAAGTGGGAGTACTGCAGTCAACCTTCATTGAGAAGACGGCATATTTTTTTAAACATGCAAATACAAGCATGTCAAATTAACACAGAGGGCTCCTGTGACAGCCTGAGGAAGACACAGATTTATTTTAGCAATGTGAAAGTACAGTATAACGGAACATTTGCAATAACAAGAGCTGCATGTGGCTCACATGACACATAATATGTGCATGTACCAATAATTTTACAACACTGGACTGAGTCATCAATCTGATAACTTCTTCTACTTCTTCTTCTCTTCCACCTTGTACCTCATCGAAGTGTCGGGGGGAGATGTAATGTTCGTTGATGCGCTCTGTCAAGAGCACTATTAAGACTGATGTTCATTTCTGTAAGGCTGTTCTTAATGCCATCACTCCATCTTTTCCAAGGTCTTCCACTTGCTCTACACCAGTTGTAACGTTTTAGTGTGGCTCGCTGTGGCGGATAGTACCAGGGCATTCTTGTTAGGTGTCCAAACCACTTCATTTGTTGTTCTTTGATGAGCTGTAAGACTGGCTTTATTCCTAGCATTCATCTGATTTCATGATTTCGTATTCTGTCTTTCATTGAAACTCCTGCAGCTCTTCTAAGGCATTTCATCTCTGTTGTCACAATTTTATGTTCATTGGAGGATGTAAGTGTCCACGTTTGGCATTGATAGCATACTGTTGGTCAAAAAATAGTTCTGATAAGATTCACTTTAGTACTCCGAGGTATCTGCTTGTGTGTCAACAGGGGAGATGGTTGACCCATTACTTGATTAGCTTTAGCTGGAGCTAATTTCTCTGTCCAGCTTTCCGTCATATGTAAAAATTGCTCCCAAATACTTAAATTCCTCTGTTTGTCTCAGGGTGTCGTTTTTTAATTTAATTTCTAAATTGTCTTTATGTCTTCCAATCATCATTGTCTCTGTCTTCGTAGTTTTTATTTTCATATTATATTTCTCCCCTTTGTTACTAATTTGATTTAGATGGTTCTGTAGCCAAGGGATGAAAAATGTGAGATCAACGTGTGAAACTAACAGAGACTAAAAGTACGAGAATTGTTTTCAGGATAGCCAAATATGTCACTGGCCCAGATTGTGCCACACACAAACTATTAAAAAGGGAGTTTTCCATTAAGAACATACTTGTAAACAAGTGAAAGTAAAAAATAAGGATTCTTTTTTATCAATTTATCAAAGGAACAACTGTAACAACCCCCCCCCCCCCCTAATCACCACTCTCGCTAGGTTACTTGACGTTTAACATGGCCAAAATATCATTTAGAGACAAAATACTTTTTTTTAACTCCCTAGACAAAAAGCTACTCTCTCTATCTCTCTCTCTCTCTCTCTCTCTCTCTCTCTGCCGAAATTGTATTTCTTCTGTACTGATTGATTGATTGGAACCTTTCGCTCTTTCCAGACGATAATGCTAGACTGCGCTATGGGGAGGCATGGAACTCACAGCCCATGTCGATAGCGAGTGTGACAGCAAGACCTGCCTACGTTTAAAAAAAGTCTTCCACAATGATAGCATGGGATTTCAGGACCGTTGTTGTCAACATCTGTGTCGTCTGTTTTTTCTCAGACGCTCATCACTCATCCTTTCTGCAATCATTTCTTCTTTATTATCATTCCCTTCCTGATCTGCCTCCTCCACACAACACGGTCCATGGCATTCTGTTTACATGAGTCCAACTCCATACCTGTATCATTCATGTTCCGCTTGCGCACATGTTTACATCGCAGTAGAGGTCGGCCTCGATATCTTCTTTCCTTCATCATAGAGGATGTCTTTAGTCTTATGTACTACAGTATTACCATTTCACTTCATCCAAACCTGTATAACTTTCGTTAATAATTACGAGTACTTGAAATAAAAAGTAAAAGTAGCAATCGCATGAAGTAGAATTAAAGAGGTACTCTCCTTCTTCTTCCCGTTCATCGGCTGTAAACGCCAGAGAAAAGTTCGGGCTATTGGTCTTCTGGGCTCTAGTCTTCTTCCTGAACCTAAGTGTTGCGCGCACATCCGTTTCACAGATCTGACATTCCTTTGCAGACTGCCGGTTCTTTTCCTATCAGGCCGATGCACTCCTACTTTGAAGTAAGCCCCCAATAAGTCGATTCTTACGACATGCTAAGTTTTATCATATATGGCTAGGTCTCTCTCTCTCTCTCTCTCTCTCTCTCTCTCTCTCTCTCTCTCTCTCTCTCTGCAGAACTCCTTAGCCCCCGCGACGAATAGGTAACAATTGCACTCGTGAATCGAACAATGAATCTACTGTATCTTCATTATGCTGGGCAAAAGGCTTGACTACGTAGCCATCAAGAGGAGATAAAGAATATGCGGGACTGTTAACCAGTAACAATCACCAGTTTGACCTGTTATTACTGCATAAACAACTTACAATTACTTTTTAAGTTTCGAAGTTTCAATCGTTCCTTTACATAATTTTAAAAAAAGGATAATAAATCACCCCTAACAATCACGTTGCAGAAACCAGCACTGAAATTCCAGCGCAACCATATAATAGCAGTTCTCTTCGGTATTCACTCCCTTAGCATCGTTCACTCAAAAGTAATCCGTAAAAATAAACCAACTCTATGAAGACGTTATAAAATTATAAGTCATGTAATATGTCACAGAGTGCATCACACAATTCACAAGAAGCCAGCCTGGCAGGAATCATCTAGTCATAAGCCTAATGGGCAAACAGTGAATCCAGGCGCCGGTCGGCAAACCAGTCCCAAATCAATAAAGTCAAGAGCGAGGTCGTCTTGGCCTATAATAATACCTTGTGGCATGCCAGGTTGTCAACAGCTACTTGCAGCCCAACGGAAACCATCGGGGTATTTAAATATGTAATTTAAATTGCAAAGTATCAATGTAAGTAAAGGACCCTTTGCCCCCCTTCAGCGTATTGGGCACATAGGGCTAGACCTATACTTTAAAGACAAAGAGGCACTCAGTGGGTGACGTGATCAGCCTCACACCGGCCGCCTTTACTTTCTAGGACTCCACCTGGTGCCAATTCAAGGCTGGGTCGAACTGGGAGCCAGTGTCTTTTTTTTTTAACACGCCCGGTACCGTCAGGACCTGAACCCACGACCTTCCGATCCGCAGGCAAGCGTCTAGCCGCTACACACAGCGGCTGCAAGTATCAGTTTAAGTATACAAAGTATAGACTTCTCTACCTCTCGTGCATAGTATTTCTTTCTCATAAGGTCAGTACCTCGATCCACGTCATGGGTGGTCTTCTAAAGTCTGCAGATTTGAGCATCCCTGCGTGCTTCCTTCTGTCTTTTATTATAAATCAATTGTATGCAACAACTCTTGAAATAGAAGAACTATGGCGTACTAACTGACAAAGTGGGCAGGAACAAATCGGAAGGCTGGGTGATTTTTTTTTTTTTTTTTTTTTTTTTGGATTAAAAGAAAGAAAATTAGATGATTTAGAAAAAAAAAACCTGGATGAGAGGAATATAGAGCTACTGAATGAGAGGGAGGTAATAGATGATAGAGAAAGGCGGAGAGTAGATGAGCGAGGAAGACCGGTGGTAGTCTGGATGAGAGAGAAAGACTGTGACATTGAAAGAAGGAGAGTGGATACAAAGAGAGTCGTTGAGGGATAGAGATCAAGAAGGAATCTGGATAAGGAGAGAGACAGAGTGAGAGAAAGAAAGAGGAGAGAAAGTAATTGATAAAGTCTGAAAGCAAAGATAAAAAAGGAAAGATTCGATGATATAAGATATACAGATTTGTAATGGTAGGGAAATAAACGAAGATTCGACGACAGTGACATCTACAAAGATAGGATTAAAAAACGGACATTCAGACTGACGTGATTTAAAAAACCTGAAAGTTGGATTATACAGAAAGTCTGGTTTTTTTTAAATGTTGGTTTGGGGTGGGGGGGGGGGGGGACTGAATGACAGCGACAGATATTGTTGGTTAAGGGATGAAAGAACAAAATAGTGTGAATGATAATAAACGATAAAGATAAAGTGGCTGAAAGAAACAGACTGTAAGGGGGAGGCGAAGATAATTATGTACTGCTCTTATACGTCGATTTTTTTTAAAGGCTTCTGGTGTGTCAAAGTCGAGAGGATTGAAGTTGAACAATAATAAAATACCCCAAATATGAATCATGTCCCCCCCCCCTTTCCCCTTTTCTTCCATAATTAATAATGTAAAGAGACACACGAACACACAGACAGACAGACAGACAGACAGTCAGACAGACAGACAGACAGACAGACAGACAGACAGACAGACAGACAGACAGACAGACAGACAGACAGACAGACAGACAGACAGACAGACAGACAGACAGACAGACAGACAGACCGCACTCACTCACTCACTCACACACAGACAGACAGACACAGATAGTGAGAGAGAGAAAGAAAAAGAACGCCTTTATTATGTGGATGGCAAGCTCTTCCCTTAGCTTATTGTCACTCGTTTACATCATAACGTGTTTGCAACAAGATTTAGCAGATCATGAGCGATAGTTTGCAATGAATCGATTTAAAATTTAAAAAAAAAAAAAACAAGCCTGCGCTTCTGTTGCAGAATTAGCTTGTAGAAAATTTACAAATGAGCAAGTAATCACAAGACGAAGCTCTCATTATTTGTTACGAACATAAGCTC